CGAGCTGGCCCGCGCCGCCCCTGCGTCCTCACCTTTCAAAGCGCCTCCGCCTCCGCCTCTGCCTCAGGCGCCGACTCTTAGCAAACAACGCTTCTCCTGGTTCCGGGGACCAGGGGAAGTCCCGCCTCTGGGAGGGACAAGGGGCGAGGCCAGGCGGCGGGAGGGGGCGTCTTCCGGGAGCGCGTGCAGGGGGAGGAGCGGTCGCCGCGCGTTAGTCAGGGAGCGGAGCGGGCTCCCGCTTCCAGCTGAGGTGGGGAGAGGGGCCCGGCGGGCTGTGAGGGGCGGGGAGGACGGTCCGGGCCGAGCCGCGCGGGGAAGAGGGGCTTGCGGTGGGACGGGCTGGCCGCTGGGGAAGGAATCCGACAGGCGTCCCCCGGGGAAGGGGGCCAGTCCCGACTCCCTGGTTCTTCCGCTCTCCGCCGTAACTTTGGGGTGGAGCAGGGGTTAGTGACTGGCGTCTCCCGGGAGCTGGGCGTGAAGGAGGTTTGTGGTCACGGGGGGGTTATTATCTTCCCCGCGGCTGCTGGGGCAATAAAACAGTTGTTTGTAATCCTGACTATCGGCGTGGACTCGGGGCCTCCCCGACTGCCCTTCTAAGTGAAAGGCCTGTTCCTTCAAACTTCCTTCCCTCTCACCTTCCTGTGCTGTCTCTTTGCCAGCGCAGCCCAGCCCAGCGCAGCCCAGCCGGGGACGGGCTCGGGCCGCAGGTTCCTGGTGCGCGTGCCACGCCGGGTGTGAGCGAGCCTGTGCGAGAGGCTGGTGTGGACGGCTTCGGTGCGAGTGTGGGGAGAGCCCCCGGAGCCTCACCATGTCCGGGAAACGGAAGCGAGTGGTGTTGACTATTAAAGATAAGCTTGATATAATAAAGAAACTCGAAGACGGAGGTTCTTCCAAACAGCTGGCAGTGATTTATGGCATTGGTGAGACAACGGTTCGGGATATAAGAAAAAATAAGGAAAAGATTATAACGTATGCCAGCAGCTCTGATTCCACAAGCCTTCTGGCTAAGAGGAAATCTATGAAGCCGTCCATGTACGAGGAGCTGGACAGAGCAATGCTGGAATGGTTCAACCAGCAAAGGGCGAAAGGCAATCCTGTGTCCGGACCCATTTGCGCGAAAAGGGCGGAGTTCTTCTTTTACGCTCTGGGAATGGATGGTGATTTTAACCCCTCTGCCGGTTGGTTGACTCGTTTTAAGCAGCGGCACAGCATTAGGGAAATTAACATTAGAAATGAAAGGTTAAATGGAGATGAGACCGCTGTGGAAGATTTTTGTAACAACTTTCGAGACTTTATCGAACGAGAGAACCTGCAGCCTGAGCAAATCTACAATGCAGATGAAACTGGACTCTTTTGGAAGTGCCTCCCTTCCAGGACTTCAGTAATCAAAGGTAAATGCACTGTCTCTGGGCACAAGTCAATTGACAGAGTCACCATCATGTGTTGTGCCAACGCAACAGGCTTACACAAACTTAAACTTTGTGTTGTGGGGAAAGCAAAGAAACCTCACTCGTTCAAGTCAACTGACACCTCGAGCCTGCCGGTCTCTTATTTCAGCCAGAAAGGTGCATGGATGGATCTTTCCATTTTCCGACAGTGGTTTGACAAGATCTTTGTGCCACAAGTTCGAGAGCACTTAAGATCCAAAGGCCTACAGGAAAAAGCTGTGCTCTTACTGGATAATTCACCAACACATCCAAACGAAAATGTCCTTAGGTCAGATGATGGCCAAATATTTGCTAAATATTTACCACCTAATGTAGCTTCATTGATTCAGCCCTCAGGCCAAGGCGTCATAGCCACAATGAAGAGAAACTATCGGGCGGGTCTTCTCCAGAGCAACTTGGAAGAAGGTAATGACCTGAAATCATTCTGGAAAAAGCTGACTCTACTGGATGCACTGTATGAAGTAGCAATGGCATGGAATTTAGTAAAACCAGTTACCATAAGCAGAGCATGGAAGAAGATTCTCCCTACCATAGAGGAGAAAGAAGGCTTGGACTTTGATGAAGAAGATATTTCACTGGCTACCGTGGCCACTATTTTACAGCATACCAAAGGGTTGGAAAATGTGACTACTGAGAATATTGAAAAATGGCTTGAAGTGGACAGTACTGAACCAGGTTATGAAGTATTAACAGACAGTGAAATCATCAGAAGAGCACAAGGCCAGACAGATGAATCCAGTGAAAATGAGGAAGAGGAAATAGAATTGATTCCAGAGAAACATATCAATCATGCAGCAGCTCTCCAATGGACTGAAAATTTATTGGATTACCTAGAACAACAAGGTGATATGATTCTGCCTGATAAACTGGTGATACGCAAACTTCGAGCCACCATCAGAAATAAACAGAAGATGACCAACTCAAGTCAATAATGGCATTTCAATGTTATTGTTTTGGTGATTGTGTTTGTAACTCTTAACCTCTTTGCAATAATGGCTTTTATTTTTGTGTATGTGTTCTGAATTCTCAGACACAGTCCTATGAAATACAGATACAAAAATGTATCTGAAGTGGTTTGAGGATTATGTGTTTTGCATCATCTGTGTCTCTTGTCCCTTTACTTATGCATATAATCTGAAGCTGGTTCTCTATAAATATAAATTATATGTATACATATTTTTCACTTTTGTAGACCTATAATTTTCCATAGCAGTGGCATTCCCTAAATTTTCTAGCAAAAGTTACAGATAATAATGAACAGATAGAGCATTTTCCTGAAATTTTTATTTGATTTGTGAGCACTACCACAGTAATCTTTTTTTGTGCTAACCTCTTAAATGGTTACCTGTTTTTTGTATCTGTATATGCTGAAAGAATGAGGAAATATCTGTATTGTTAGATTTCAGGGTGATCTATAACTAAAAATGAAGTTCAATAATGAGGAGGAAATGATCTATGAATTACAGAAATAGCTTAGAAATCATACTTCTGTTATATTTGGGTGGCAACAGGGGAGATTTTTCTGGAAACGGAAGCAAATATGATATGGGAAGTGATTGCTAAATTAGTGAGAAAACTATTGGAAAACAGGTATATAAAATATATTCTAATCTATTCATTTGTAGAAAACTGGAAGTTGAAAATTTGGAAAGCTTTAAGTTATTTATACAAAGGGAATAAATAGGTTTCTTTTAATTGGGTCTTTTTATTATGAATTGGGTAACAGTGTAGATTTATTATTTATTCATCTAATTATATTACAGGTTTTGTAATATTACATGGTTTAATGTTATATGAACTCCCACCTTACATGTGGGGGAACATCTTGGGAATTTGAAAGTTATTTTTTTTTACTGTGTACTTGATATTGTGAGTAATTTGAAAACATTTGTCATACCTTCTCTTTATTTCCTATGAAAAGAAGCAAAAGAAATGAAAAAAATAAAGTTTTATTGTTTTTAATAAGCCATAGGTTATGACCTGCTTTATGAAGAAAGCAGAGATAATTATGGAACGTGCCAGATTCTTAAGAATTTCATCATTTATTATTTTGACACTTGTAGAACATATTCTAGTATTTGTCAAATTTTGATAAATTTGCTTAGTAAATTTAGTATGTTTATTCAAGACATGAAAATACTACCTATGTGAATATTAATTTAATTTGTGATTTAAAAGCAAAGAGTCTCCATATTATTTAATATTTTGGACCTAAAAAAAAATTTTAAGTAGAATTGTTTTCTGTCAGTCATTTTTTAAGGTTTAACTTTATCATAGAAATACTTTGCATTTTATAGTGCCTTTCTTAGAATTCTAAAACTTCAAAAAGATTTTTTGCTTTTCATAATTTCTGTTATCTTTACAATATATGTCTAGATTTTTTAAAGACATCTGTGATGATAACTTTAAAAGTTGTATGTGCTGCGTGAATTGCCTCAGTGCACACAGGGAAAAAGCATCAGAAGTTAACATATATTGAATCGGATAATTACACCTTCTATAAATCAATTGTATATAAATGGATTTTTCATTTTTCTGAAATGAAAATATGTACTAAAAGCTTCTTGGAATTTCTGTCTGGATTTGCTCACTATTTTTAAAAATTAACCTTGTCAGTAAAATTCAGCTGTATCATTGCCACCTAGTGGTTAAGTTAACATTATTGTTAAGCTGTGTGGTTTCAAACTTTAATATCCAGTAAAAGGTTCACTGTTTTGTGGCCTTGAGTGTGAATCTTGTGACTATTCTCTAGCCTATGACAGACTGAGCTTTCTTTGATTTGCACTTTTTTGAAGCTGCCAACACTGGTAGGCTAACAGTTCTGTTTTGGACCCTTCTATCCCTAAACAATGATAAAAGCTGCCAATTACCAAATACCATGTTATGGTCTAAGCAATGTACTTATATAATCCTCAAGTTGTGAGTTAGGTGGAAATACTGATGCTCAGCTCATACTCTTAATTGCTGAAGATCACCACTTGGCTACAGGTAAGAATTTAAGCCCAGGTATTTGACACCAAAGCGTGCACTTGTATTATTTGACCTAGGCTAACCTAACCTTTTCAGTTCTTCAACATTGATTCCTTGCTGCTGCCCTTCACCACCTGCCACAGTTGACTGAATTTACTTATCTATTTTCCAGTGCACTTGTGGCACCAGTTGCCTTTTCCTTTGCCCTTTTATGAGAGTCTTCCTCCTCCACTACTCTGTATTGTCTCTATTTCCTTGTTTATCCGCAACCTAATAGCATTTGAAACTTGGATCATATGTTCTCTGCTTTCTGGTTAGCCATGCTCAGCGAGGATCCTTTCTCACTTCTCAATTTAAAACCCATCACTGGGGCCCTAACCAGTTTGGCTCAGTGGTTAGAGCCAAACCACTGAGTTCGTCCTCAGACTTAAGGACCTCAGGTTCGATTCTGGTCAAGGGCATGTACCTTGGTTGCAGGCTCAATCCCCAGCCCTGGTCTGGGTGCCTGCAGGAGGCAACCAATTGATGTGTCCATCTCACATTGATGTTTCTCTCCCCCAATCTCTCTGAAAAGCAATGGAAAAAATATCCTTGGGTAAGGATTAAAAAAATAAAATTAAAATTAAAAGAGCAAAATAGCTCTAAAAAAAAACCCATCACTGGGAAAAGTTCATATGAATACTATATCTGGTTCATGAGGCTATCAAAGGATTGGCACAGTACAGTACTAACATGAAAGTCTCGCTAGACCGAAACTATTGGAAACCATTACCATCAAAAGCACATGAGCATGTATAAACTTAGATCCATAGAGATCAAAGGGAAAAAAATAAGCCCCCATATAAGATGATATGGGGGAGAGAATGAAGGCTAGATTCAAAAAGGTGATTAGAGAAAAAAATTCAAGGGAAGTGTAGCTCACAGCGCGGCTCGTTTTGTAATATGCGTTTCAGCATCCTAGCCCCAAGCTTACTAGTACGTGCTGCTTGCTTCATAGGTGGCCCCCGTAATCCCTCGCTTTTTTCCTTTCTCACTTAGTGAACGTTAAGAAGTCAGTGCCAAGATAAATATGTTTGATCAATAGTTGGGACCATTTAATGGATGATGCTGGGAGATGTTTGGGTACTATATCTGCCCCAAAGTCATAAACTCTTAGTTTCCAATTTCTGTTCCTTTACTGTACCACCAGAGTTCCTGTTTGGCTTTTAGTTTCTCCACTAAGTAATTCTCCATAGACTCATTCTCTGGCCAGTTGTGCCAGGTTTCCCCATTGATGAGCCTTGAAACATCTCAGAAAACCAACCGTACATTACAGTGTTTCTTTAAACCCACCCCCCTAGTAGTCAAGAATTCTTGATGCAGGAGAAACTTGATTTTTTTTTTTTTTTTAATGAACGATTTGGTCCTTTTGGGGGTATATGGGTGAGGGAAGTGGGATTCTTTGCCCGGTTTAAATTCAGTGAATCATTCGAAAGAGTCTTGCATGTACACGAATGGTTTCTACTTCACTCTTCGATGTTAGGAATTTGCATTAAATGTTGCATTTAAAAATAAATCCCTGTTTTAACAACCACAAAAAAAAATCACTGAACCTAGAATTTCTTGAGGTTTACTATATGTGTAAGATTGCTGTGAGTGGTGGGTTTAGGAAAATATAAAAGAAAGGGAAGAGGGATTCTTGTCTTTCAGGATCTTGAAACCAAGGTGGAGAAATAACACTTGAAAAAAAGCAAACCGTCTGGATCCATTGCAAGCTCATAGAACAGCGAACACAGTATGATATGGACTATAAGGAAACCATCATGATTTATTTTACTTATTCATTCCTTAGCTGGCTTCTACTCTACACATTTAAAACTCTTCTTAGTTTTTTAGTTTTTACTGCTCCTGAGTGACTTCATCTATTTCCATGACCTGCAGGCTTATTATCCCAAATCTATCTCCAGTCACTTTTTCTTACATCCAGGTTTGTGTCTTCAGCTGGGTAGCAGGGTTTAAGTTTGGAAGAGACATTACACTTGTTGCTTTGCTTCCCATCTATAGCAATCTCTTCATCGGCATCCTAATGCCAGAGCCATCTAGATTGGCTAAGGATTTCAAATAATTTTTAACAATGCCAAATTAAGCCTATCTACCTTGGTCTGAAATGGAAAAATAGGTAGTTATCTGTTTTCTTACCTGTATCTCCCCTTCCCTTCTCCTTTCCTGATCTACATATATGCCCCTGCGTCTGACCATTTCTTCCCACCAGAGCCACAGTGGTTTCTGTTTTTGGTACTCTTGTTGCTACTCAAGGAAAATTTAGTTTGTTGTGTTATAATCCCAAACTGCCTTAAAAGACCATCATTTAAGGTATCAAGGCAATAAAGGATTAATTGTGGTTGCAAATCCCTTCCACTTACAGTAATATAATAAAATTTAATATAATATAATAAAAAATAAAGTTTAAAGAAACAAACCTGAAAAGGAGAGGTGGATATGGAAAGGGATGTTGAATAGGTTAGTAACAAGCATTTGTATAATCGTGATTTCTTTCTGAATGGGGGGGGGGGGGGAAAAAA